ATATAAGTAAGATATAAGTAAGATATAAGCCATCGCGAGAAGCAGAAACTATTGAATTTCCCCTTCAAGCCATCGATCGAACTTCATTCGGAGGACGTACAACGGTTCAAGAGTGTCATTTCAGAGTGGATGGGGACGGAATACGTGGAGAATTTACCTATTCCTGGTGTAAAAAGTCTTTGTTTATCTCACTGCATTGCTAAGAATTAGCATCAAAGTTCATTACCATCTACACTCCGTTTCTTTCTGCAGCCATCCATAACTTCTTCAAAAACTGTTTTCCTTAAAATTCTAAACAACCATCGCCATGAAAAGTGATCAAATGTGATCACAAATCTGAAAATCACTACAACACTCGAGGTTGAGAAACGCCAAAAATGTTATGCTCACTTTGTCACAGAAGTAGAAAGTCACTACTGGAAAACCCCCATTCAGGGTCAACGCTATGTTGGTACAAGTAGTTTTTTTTAGCACACTCAAAGTTTTATGCAAAATCGGTTTCGAAGGAAGTTGCGACCATTGAAACGCAAAAAACCCATTTTCAAGAAAACGTCAAAGAATGCCTCTCCAAAAATGTCCCTCATTTTTGAATCGGTGACTTTATGAAGAAGTTTCAGAACCTTTTAGAAAAGCTTGAACCTTGAAGGTTCTCATACTGGCATCAACTTCTCAAATTGATGAGCCTGAAGGAAGTGTGATCATTCAAAGTTTGAAAACTCGCGGTTCCAAAAAATGTCCCACAACCCTCCCCTTCTCGGAGAAAGAAGTTTAAACAGGACTATTTTCTGAATTCATAATTTAGAATAAGATTCAGTACTTTTCAAAAAGCTTAAACCTTGAAGTTTGTCATACTGACCTCATCTCTCCGAATTAGTGAGTTTGAAGGAAGTGTGATCGTTTGAAAGTTGAAAACTCGCACGTGCACGGAAAAAAGTACCAACGTGCTATTTTTTATAAATTACCTTTCAAGAGAGTTTCAGCGATTTTTGGAGAGAGAATGATTTGAGATTTTTAATCTTGTTACTGCGTCGCACAACTTCGAATTTGAAGGAAGTTACAATCCTCGAACAAAACAGGTCCGATTTATTGAGATTTTATTTGATTGTGGCAGAAACAACGGGGAAACGAGAACTACTCACGCACCCCGGAGTTTATTCCCCGTGCATGTAATGTAAGTATTTTTTACACACGTTCACATTAAGGTCGTGTCAAGAGCCGCGAACAGGGGGGGGGGGAGTTCGTAAAAACTTCCAAAAAGTACCAATAGGGTTAATCCTTACTCCAACCCTCTCCTGTCGTAATGACCATACCAGATCCTTTGAAATACAATATTTCATTTTGGTACTCTACAAGGAGATCCTGAAGCTTTTCTTCTCTTGTCTTGACCACAGACCATTTTACAGGTTCTCATAGAATTAAATAATAATTAGAAATCGCCGACTCCATTTTCTTTGCAAAGGATATATGTGTCTGCATCAAAAAAATTGAAGACAGATCAGGCACAAATAGGGGCTGCTGTACTAGTAAAAACTGGAGTTCGAAAGAGCACCTCATTTTACAATAAGAGGTTGAAAATGCGAGAGGTTCAGTTTAATTTTATTTTTCCATTACGAAACCAACCTGACTCTTAGTCAATCGACCATTTCCTTACGTTTGCAACGGCTATTTATTATCGGTGATAAGCTACAGCATCAGAGCCATATTACGCAAAGTTTCCCTAGGATAGCCGCTTCTGCGGCCTTGCGGAACAAGTCCTAATCAGCTGGAGACTGAGACCCTTATCCTTGACACTCTTCTATCACTGCTTCCTTGCAGTTTTGGTTTCCTTACACCATATCAATGGGATGAGATTGAAGTGCGTAATCCAAAGCCGAGCAAGATCTTTATTGAAATTTATTCATCATACCACATTGCACAAAAGGGCGCTGGCATTTGTGATTCACTTCGTATTCCAACATTATACCGTATCTCATGTGAAATAAGTTATCTGGAAAGTAATGTAGTCTATAAGGCATTTCAGCAAAGGAATCTCTTCCGCACCTCCCCCACCTTCGCAAGCAATAAACATCTTCTATCCTTCAATTTAAATCCGTCATGTGAAATTTGCGGACATGTTGGCATTTTATAGGTTGAAACGGTGTACAGCCAGTCCAATTAGCCGGGTGAGTGCAAACTGGTGCACCTTATACGTCTTGGAAATTTTAACTACTATTGTGGAGATTTCCGTTCACTCGCTTGTGATATGTTGCCTGGAGGTTGCGTAATTACTTAATACCGAATACCGTCGTTCTGACCTACGGAGCGCGATCATCAAACTTCACAACGACGGCAAGCAAACAAGAGAAATTGTGAAGATCCCTTTCCGTACCTCGAAGGACGGTTCAGAATACAGTACGACGCTATAAAGAACTGAAGACCGAAGAGGACAGGGAAGGAAGAGGACGTCCCACAACAGCTACGAGTCGGAGAAATGTGAGGCTCGTCAGAGAAAGAATTCGAAGGAACGCCAGGAGATCGATGCGCCAGATGGCGAAAGACGTTGGAGTAAGCGCGAGGTCAATGAGGAGGAAGTTCCCCTATCGCTTGCAGAAATGCCAACTCCTGACGGACATTATGAAGAAAAGGAGATTGGAGAGATGCAAGAAGTTGCTGCAGCGATTCACGGTGGCACGCGCCCGAGACATCGTTTTCAGTGATGAAAAGATTTTTACTCTGAATCCAGCCTTCAACTCCCAAAATGAGAGGATTATTGCAGGATCACTTGCTGATGCTACCACCAAGGGCAAGACTCCAGGAAAGAGCGAAACACCCCCAGTCCATTCTTGTTTGGGGAGGAGTCACCTCTACGGGGAAGACCCCACTTGTTTTCGTTGAAGCTGGTGTAAAAATCAACGCAGAGGTTTACAAAAATATCCTGGAGGAAGTTCTCAAGCCGTGGGCCAACTCCCATTTCGGAGAAGCCTACTGGTGCTTCCAGCAGGATTCTGCTCCAGCACACAAAGCAAAGATGGTCCAGGAGTGGTGCGCCGAGCACCTGCCCGACTTCATCAGACACGACGAATGGCCCTCCAGTTCTCCTGATCTAAACCCGATGGATTACTGTGTGGTCCATCTTGGAGAGCAAAGCGTGTTCTACCAGACATCCAAACTTGGACTCTCTTAAGGCGGCGCTTTCAAAATCTTGGGACGAAATCGATGACCAGTACCTGCGTGCCACATGCGAAGCATTTGTCGAACGTCTGAAGGACTGTGTGAAGGCTAAAGGAGATCATTTTGAGAAGCATTAACATTTTTTGTATTGTCATGTTTGTAGTAAATAATATTGATAATTAGAATTGATTTGTGAGAATTATTGTCAAAATGCCATTGAAAATTTAGTGCACCAGTAATTTTGCCCCACCCTGTACTTCCGTGTTGAAATTCAAACGTTGTATGCGCAGACGTGCTGAATAACATTGATGTAAGGGATTAAAGCACAACACTGGCTCCAATTTTGGCTCTAAGAGCATCCTTCCATTTTTGACGATAACCCTCCAAAAATCCAGAGTAGGAATCATTTGCCGATCAATGTTAAGATAGAAGGCAGAAAGAATGGAAGAAAGCATATCAAAACTTTTGCTGCTTTTCAAGATGGGAAGAAATATGAAGAATCGTGTACCGCATGAACTGCCTGACTAGCATTCTGATGGGATGCCTCGAAAACGCCAAGTTCTGCAGCTTAAGAGCAGCAAAAAACCTTCTTCCCAGCCCCTTCATGGTGAGGCTCAGCCACATGTCGCATGAACTACCTCAGAAGAATTAAACAAACCAAAAGTTAACATACTATGCGGCAGTCGAAGGACCTTTATCCCATCAGTGCACAATTTTCCATCCATCTCGATAAATTCTTGAGTGAGATACACCCCAATGACCAAAGTCACATAAAAATGCTCTCATGCTCAAATGCTCATTGCATTCAAAAGTGCTCTTCATCATGTTCACAACTTGAGAGTGACGGAGTACCGCAGATACACCTTGTTAAGAATTATCAGTAGTTTCCAATATTTCTTGTACCTGACTGAGACTGTTATCCTCGATTTAATATGTATCGTCGAGAGGTGCGGTAATTTCGCATAACTTTCCGAACAACAAGTCAAGCCATTGAATACGATCTCTCACACTCATTAACTTGCATTTCATTATATCAGGTACCTCACATAACGGTGTCATGTAATGGGGCTGTTATAATTGTAATTCATTGATGCCGCCTTATGCGTGTATCAGAAGAAACCTTCGGTCCCATAAAGTGAAACTCTCTGGCGCAGCAGTAGCATTGTTCATTGATTATTCATTAGTCACTGCAAAGAAAGTTGAGATCGGTAAATAACAAATACTGATAATTTGCATAAAGAAAAAGTTAAAGAAAGAAGGTCGGAGTAAGCCACTCAAAGTGTTCGCTGAGACGCCTTACCCATTTTCCAGCTGTCAGTTTGTGGTTACAAGTCGAGCACCCACCATATTTCATAGGTATTTCGAAGCGGATTCGTAATTCGCTTCTCAAAGACGGAATTTCATAATGCAATGTAAGTCAAGAGACCATGTTCAGGAAGAAGTCTCTAACCAACAAAAAAAAAGGAGCAATCAGACCCATGTCTGAGTCGTCTGATGCGGTCGTATTTCTTCGCAAATCAGTTTTTGGCAAGACTGGATCTAGCCATACAAAAGTGGTTCTTAATCGTAATGAGCATGCTAGAAAAAATGCAGAAAGCCCCGCCCGTTGAGGATCCTAAACACTCTTACAGACACAGACTAGCATATGATCCAGTAGGCCAGCTCTACGTTCGAACACTGTACGTGTCGAGTTCCTGTTTGCTCCTTATCACAACAAGTACTGCAATTTTATACAGAATCGTAGCAGATATGGTAATAGTTCTAAAGCTGGCGTTCGAAAACTTTTCGGATGATATGCGCCTCACACTTCGACCTACCATCCTTCCCTTGTTGGGCGGAACCCCTCGTGTGAACGATTTGCCAGTCAGTATACCCTCCCTTTCAAAAAGCGAGAAAGCGTCGGGTGCAGACCATACACCACAAGTGACGACGGCCTTCACAAAATTAAATGTTTTTTTCTGCCAATGAAATGATTAGCCTGTTGCAGTTGTATTCTATCAGTTGTCACTAATTACAACTATCATTTACCAAAAATCAGCTATCACTATGAACACTACTAACCAGATTTACTTGGAGGCCGTCGTCAGTTGTGGTGTTTGGTCTGCACCCGACACTTTCTCGCTTTTTGAAGGGGAGGGTATGGGAGTCAACCTCCAAGCTCAAATCGAGAAGCCCGCTAGCTTTTCCTACGTAAGCGGTGTAGCTCGCCAGCAAGCGGCAGCCGCTGCGGAGTCAGCGGCAGCGGGACCTTCCTCGCCTTTACCACCCACTCCCGGGCGTCGTGCCAACCGTAAACGGCCAGCTAGTCGCAGACGGTGGTTTCTCGTGGTCAACTGCCCAAGTTCACCCCGGAGAGGCACTTCCAACACATTGTCGGAAAGTTACCCATGGACACAACTCGTTTCTTCTCGGAAACTAGCCGTTCCCATCCAATCCGGACTCGATTACTTCCGCTATACCGCTCGCTGTCTGGTCACATTCCTCCAGGTGGATATCTCTCTCCCAAGTACGTGAGAAGGCTTTTCCCACTCAAGTTCCACAAGCAGCCAAGCCCCCGTTAGCGCTTGTCGACTATTTGTCTCGAACAGTGTTTGTGCTATAGTGCATCGCCGCTCCTTCCGGTGCGTCAACGACGACCCACTCGGGGGTCGGTATGTCATCACTGAGAATTCGCGGCCAGTTACTTCCGAGGGATTAATGCCCTCCATAGTGTACCCCGAGGAGCGAGATCTTTTTCCTGTCCTGTACCAGGTCGTCAATGTAGGAGTTGGTCAGGGTGTCGTTCTTGAAGCGAAGGATTTTTTCATTCCTGGACCGGACCGGCGTGAACTCCATCTGATCACTTTGGGTCAGTATGCCACCAATGTTCCGACTAACATCCGTGGTTTTGATCGGACGCTCGTCTCCGTGAAGGAATTGGTTTTCGTCTATTCGGTTGAGCTCACATGGGCAGCCCTGCGTGATCCTCCTCTTGCCCTCGAGCAGGCTCGGATACCCAAGGCTACCGCCCTCGATCAGCGGTACCCATATTTCTTCCGGGTACGAGAATGAATTCGTCTTCGTCACTCCCCAACGACGACTCAGCGGACCTTGGCACCGTTATGCCTCTTGTGATTCGCTACGAAGATGTCAAGGGTTTGCGGATTGCCTTTGAAGGCGCACCGCAGACCGTCCCCGTCTCCAATTGTCTGCGATTTTTCCCTTCGACAAGTTGAGCAAGACGAAATCGTCGCCGCCAACATCCGTTTTAACGTTTCCTGAGTGATGCGGTTCTCCGAGTTTCCAGCTTCTCACGATTCTCAGAGGATGCTCTGTTCTTTCGTTAGGAACTCCCTTTCAGCCTATTTCGAGGAAGGCATTCTCCCACTTCGCGTCTTCAAGCCCACCACAAAGGAGAAGATCTTTAAAGTGAAGTGAACCGTGCCGTCAATTCTACCAGCTAGGACGCTAACCCGCGAGTCTCTCAACCGCCACATGGCGCACCTATTCAACGCCGCCTGTTCAGCCTAGCTGCCGTCAACTGCTTGATCGATGACAAGCGGACACACATGCTTACGACAACCGTCCCCAGCATGTCCGCTTTCTCCCTGTGGTTTGACTTCACCATCTGGGCATGTCGTCCGAGTGCGGATGGACGACTCAACGTCCAGTCTATCTATGGGTCACTGGTTCTCATTCCCGCGGGAACTGACCCGCTCTACGAGCTCATCTCGAAGCGACAGCTCTTTGCTCGTTTCGAAAACAATTCACGAGTCGCGGTTATCTTAAACGCCGTGTACGGCTCCCACCGTAAGCAATCCTGTTGGCCCTCAGTTTGAGCATGTTGCTGCCTCAGTAGTGGTCGGACCTTTCAACTGCGTCCGGACCAAAACACCGCCCTTCAAATGGGTGATCATCTGCTGCCGATTCTCTCGTTATACAGGCCGCTTTCAGCACCGAAAAAAGAAGTCGGAGTGCTTATCGCTGCCCGCACGTACGCTTCTTTAGAGCAAGGTCTAACTGCCACCACTGCGACCAACAACGCCGTGGCCCAATTTAGTGACACCTTGCTGCAGCTTGACGACAACAAGGATCAGGCGATCTTGCGGTTTGTCTCGGATACAGCCTTGATCGATGGCGCCCCTAGACTCCGGTCGACCTCCACACGGTACTCAGTCGGAACTACTCGATTGTCTGATGTTCAATCCTAATCTGGCCATCGACGTGTCGGACGCAGAACAGGATGAACATCGACTGACGGAATGCTACATTTCTCAATCGACGCATGACGCGACGACATCATGTTCCGCGTTTGTCCACCAGCTGTCCTCCGCATCACACGCATGCAGCGGACCGCATCTTTTGTGGCACGCTGGACAAGTTTACCACTTCTCAAATTTCGGAACTAGCCCGGGTAGTCCTTGCCACTCACCTGCCACAAACTCGCCGCATCCACATCGGATGACCATCACCAGCTGAAACCCCATGCCAGGTGTCTCCGCCCCTCCAACCCTGCCTGTTTTGGTGCGCAAGGCATCATGGGTATTGTGGTCGCCAAAGGCGTTCCGATGGCTCCCCGCACCTTCACTTTCATCCGCTGCTGAATGATTCGCTCAACCGGCTGTTCTACGACCATGCTCTCATCAACGGTACCCGTGTAGAAGACCGTCACATGTTCCTATCCGTACGCTGTCCTGAGCTAAAGCTCCCGTTCCTCTTCGTCGGCGTACCCTGTGCATCCGCGAAGTCTCTTAGTGGATCGCACAGCTGTGAGGCCGAAGCTGAGGCTTGCCGCCAAATTGTGTCGGTGTTAACAAGGAAGAACATCCCACCCTCGTTTCTGGCCATCATAGCGTTCTACAAAGAACAGCTCGCACAGTTCGCCAAAACCCTCGAAGTCGATTTGGATACAGTCGATTCCGTTCAAGGCTGTCAAGAGAACATCATCATCCTCCTCACCACGCGGTCTGGCTTCGATGCTGACCGAGGAGAATTTCTCAACGAACCTCATCGGTTCAACGTCGTGCTCACCACGTATAGGCACGGCCAGTTTGTTCTAGGTCACGAGCAGTCTTTACAGGTCTCTCATACTGGAATGACATCTTTAGGCCCGCAACGTTCTGCCATAGTCTGCCACTGCGTTACCGTATCTCATCGACTTACGAACCCTTTTTCCTCCTCCTTGAAACCTAAGGTGAGCAGTGCTTCTTTGTTTTGTTTCCTCATATTTGAGTCCGAGGACGGACTTTTTTGTAATGGAAAAGGTGTAAGAGAGTGAAAGAGCGCGAGAGAGTTGATACACTAATCGCTGCATAATTATAAACCACTACTTTGGTGTGTCGAATGTGCGTGTGTGTCGTTCTGTCCGTCTGGGCCAACCGCTAACAGAACTGGGGAGTTCGAAGGATTACACTTCGTGATGTTGATGTCACGATTATGATAACACCTACAGCGGTTATATAAACACCGATCGAGTACACTCACGTCAGTCTCATTCTACGTGGTGCTGCAGTGGCAGCTGGAGGTGAAGAAGTGAGGGGGCAGGAAAGGGGGTGGGCAGGAAGGGGGAGGAGAGCGAGAGAGAGCGAGGGAGGAAGAGGGAGGGAAGGAGAACGAGAGGAGAAAAGGGGAGGGAGGGAGTGTCGTGGCAGCCTCAGGGGCAAGAGGGGAGGGTTGAAAGAGTGGGCTGGGAGTGGGAGGATTAACGGAGGGAGCCGCGTTCAACGAGGGAGTGACGTACATTTCTAAATGAGATGTTGTGATTTTGATAACACTCACAATGGCTATACATATAAACACGATGGAGGCACAACTCAGTTCTACTATCCTTCTATTTTATAAAGCGCTAACTTTGTGTGTCGGTTTGTGTATCTGTATGTGTGTGTGTGTGTGTGTGTGTGTGTGTATGTATGTGTGTCCGTCCGCAAAATGAAGTGAGTGAGAAGGAAGCTCATGGGATAAACAAACCGCTAACAAATCGGGTAGCTTACAGGGATTTGAGATATCAATGTTTTGTAGATAGTTGTGATACACTCTCAGGGCTATATAAACACCTGCTTAGCACACTTCCGTTCATTCCACATGGTGCTGCAGTGGCAGCTGGAGGGCAGTGGAGAGAGGAAGGGAGGATGAGGAAGGGAAGCGAAAAATCTACCGTCATATCATGATTGTGTCCCTTCTACTGTATGAAACACCATTGTGTTGCATACGCGTCACTTCCAGGAGGTGTTGGTGTCACAGGAGGAAGGGACCATAGCGGAGGATAGAAAGCTTGCGCAGGAAAGGAAGGTCCCGGCGGTTGACGGGGGACTAATCTGGTTTATATAAAAGAAGATTGAATAAGGACGTGAAGCTTTCGGCAGGGAAGCCAAAGTCCCGGCAGTCGACAGGGATTAATCGTGGTAGTCGTTATAAACACAATAGATGAGTATAAAAATTAAAAATTACTAATTAAGGTTGTAGTAGCCAAAACTAGTAAACTCCCCTAACCATTTATTCTTTTGCTTCCCTTCTCGGGCGGATTCCCCTTACAAGTAGCCGTCTGGCACGAGAGAGTATGTCGGGATGAGAGGCAGATAGTGCGAGAGCATACTGTAGTGACTCATCTGATGCTTCGTACTTAAGGCTTCCGATCGGCGACTTAGAGAGATCTCCGCTGCAACGACTGGACTCCGGCCTGCGCCTCCGTCACCCTTCGATCCCTTCGGGCCGTCGCCTCTGGGCCCAACGCCTCCGCCGAAGATCCTCAACTGAAAGATCTCGAAGTCAGCATCATCAATAAATCTGACTGTATTCGTAACTAATCTATCACAAGTAATCAGTCCGAGTGAGGTGTTAAATCACTCATATAACTGAATCAAAAAGTGTTTGAACTATTCTGTTCGAACTCTGGGAGTCTGTAGAATTGCGAAATCTTTTCTCAGCGTTATGCAGCAGCCCTTAAAAAGCAAGCACGAACAAATTTCCCTCAAAATAACCCAAACCAACGAGCCGAATTTGGGGACTTGGACATAATACCGTGAGCATCAAGCACGTAATAAGTTGAGGATCCGCGTAGTCTTTGACGCTCCGGAACATTACAAGTTATGCGCATCGCCTGTTTTTTTTGCAAGGATTCGGTAATCCTCCTACATATGTTCGCAATTCTTTTCAAATTCTATTCAGAAAAATTATTTCGTGTCGACGCATTTTTATTAGTAAGGCCCAATGAAAGGGAGCACGACCCCACAGCACGACCTTCCTGTGGCGTAGGATTATCGGGAACCGCCTAAACGCGACAAAATCAGGAAGTTTAGCTCCACGAGTGTTCATGAGGCTAACTGCCTGACCGCTCCTTGTGGCAACCATTACCCACTCAGTTGCATACTCACTCAAGCGAAAGAGACTTGGTTGACTGGGTAAAGATCGCTCTATGTATTAGGTTGTCCCATAATTAGTGAATCACTTTGGGTATTTTTGAATTAAATTTTTTTCTTTTTTATGTGGAGTCTTTGCTCATCCAAACATACACCTCTGTCATCTACAATGTATTGCCTATACAAGGAAATTTAGTCGCTGTCTTATCTCTAGAATTCCAGGAGCTATTGATCGAAGAAAGATCGGAAGTCGAGTTTGAGGTCATGTCACTTAGCGTAAAATTTCTTCCTGGGGAAGAGCGCTAGAGGTCAGACTGAGTTGTCTTTTGTTGGCACGAGGATAGGGCCACACAGAGGAAGTGAAGAACTGCTAGCCTGAGAGTCTCCAATTTTTTATGAATATTCTCCGCAAGGTGGGTCGAACGACCTCAGGAAAAAAGCAGACTTTGTCTTGCTTTACTTTCAAATTGAACGCGTCGCGCTGTAGATGTTGATCTTCTTCAGTGACCCTAGTATTACTGGGCGGCGGTTCCCAGCGCATGGTCACTCTCGTGCTCCACCAATATCTCGGAAGGGTCGGACTCGAAGGAGGTTCGGCTTTTGCTGTCAGAACTCCCGAATCCTTCATGCTAGGCTACTGCTTTTCGGAGATTTGCTAGTACACTCCACCCAGTCCAGAACCCTGGTGAATATGCTGGATGATCACTGTAAGGAACTAAGGGAAGGTCAGAAGGAACATGACGATGTCGTAATAAC